CTTCCTTAAAACTTTCTGGTTTCCCATTGCACTTTGAATAAAACTCCCATTTAATTTCCACAGCCGAAAGTCCCTGCATGATCGGACCTCTGTCTTCATCTCCTAGTTTATCTCCTACCACTCACTCTCTCCACCTGCCTTTATGTTTCTTGATTCTGTATGCCAACTTAGTTTCCACCTTAAAACCTTGTTTCTGACATCCTGAAATGTATCCAATATGCCTCCTTTGTTTTTTCTTTAAATCTTTGCAAATCAAACTTCAGACCATGGAGTATGATCTCTTCATTAATTCTTCCCTCTGCACAGAATGTTCCGCCTTCCTGTTCCCCCCGACCCCCCACCTTAAGTCTATTTTTGTCACGCTCCAGAGATGCTTTCCCTGAAAAGTTAATCTAAGCAGACACTTTTCTCCATAATAACTTATTACTATCTGCCATTATCTTGTTCACTTATTCGTGTGCTTGTTCTTATCTGTCTCCCTTCATTAGCATGCAAGGTCCATGAGAGCAAGGACTTTGTCCTGTTCGCTCCTGTATCTCCAGTCCCTAGATTAGTGTCTGACACATCATGGGCCATCCATAAATAATACCCATCCCAGAAGATGAGATTTCTTTGGTACAAAGTTGGTTCTCAACAAACATTAAATCTCTTTCCTACCCGCTGATAAAACTAATCAACGCGGTCCCTTGCTCAGCAAATATCACACATGTGTCATCTTGGATGTAGAGGGTGTTCCATGCTATTATTCAAAAACACATAGTAAAGGATAAGAACAGTGTGGGTGGTATTCTTTTTTTGTTCCTCTCAATCCATTCTCCACTCTTTGCCATGTCCTGTCATCTCCTCTTTTTGCACCTGTGGATTGACCACTAACCTCTGAGATTGCGTCCTCTAGAAACAGACACTGAAATGGAGTTTTAGTTTCATTTGATCAACACTTATGAAAGGAAGGGGGATAGACCAGGATTGGGCAGGGGGAAGTCGAACTGCAATTTAGGCTTCACAAAGCTTTAGTCAACCCAACAGGGAGGGAACTCGGGAGTGAGGTGTGCCTCTCAGAGTGTCTTTCATGAAGCTGAAATGACCCTGTCTTTGTACTTCCTTGTCTTACTCACTAGATTCACTAGGTCACCCAGAAAGGGGTGATCTTAATTAAGGTGGCTGTCTGCAATTGAGGTAGACCTTGAAGTAGCTGTCAGGCAGAGGCTGTCTGCTAACTGCACTTCCTGCTGCTGAGCAGAAAGCCTTAGCTTGAAGAGGGGGTGTTGAGGGCCATCTCCATGTCTTCCACACCAGTTTGAATCTCAATCTTTCCTTGGGCCTTCCCTCTTACTGTGCTGGTGCCTACCATGGAAACTGTTTCCAAGGGCTGTGTTCTAGTGCCCCTTCACTAACAAAAACCAAACAACAACAACACACACCCCAGCTTAATCAGTTCAGTTTATCCCAAACAACTTCTAATAAAATTTCTCTATCTTATCAATTACCAGATTCACAGACAGTTGGTTGAAGAAAATATGTTTCCACTTTAGGAAATCTGAGGTATTAAGAGAGAAGATAGTACTATACAGTATCAGAAACAACATCACCAAGCAGTCCAAGAGCAGCATTCATGATTATGTCTTTACATTCTCCTGAAAAGGGTTGCTCTGCGGTATCATCTCTAAGACACTGAACATGTGGGTGGCTTTCATGATTCCTTCTTTAGCTTGATGTAGTAAGTAGGTCCTCTTACCTCCTATGGTTTCTGAATAATGCTGTAGTGTAGGCCTTCTAAACCAGTATTTCTGAGTGAGTGTTACCATGAAACCTTCTTTAGCAGCAGTATTATTTCTTAATATTGACACACACTTGATTTGCAAAATGCATCAGCCAGGTAATACCTGGCTAAGTTAATATGACTATTTTTTTAGTGAAAATTGATACTTTTATTTCTTTTTTTTGGGGGGGGGGAGAAATGGGTACAGTGCTGGGGAATTGAGGGAAGGGGAACCGACAAATTGTTGTCCTTTTGTTCTTCAGTCTAGTTGTGGAGGACGTTGCTTCACTGGCCCAAGTTGGGACCATCATTGTGCTCTTCCCGGGCGAGGCAGATCAGTCACCGGCTTCTGGACGGCCGCTCACAGCGGCTTGAGGGCCACTCACGCTGGCTGCTGGCTCCACACGGTAGCCCATGGCAACCCACTGCAGC